TCAGAGCCCGACGCGGGGCTCGAACTCACGGACCGTGCGATCGTGACCTGGCTGAAGTCGGATGCTTAACCGACTGCGCCACCCAGGCGCCCCATTTATTATTTATTTTTGAGAGAGAGAGAGACAGAGTGTGAGTAGGGGAGGGGCAGAGAGAAAGGGAGACACAGAATCCGAAGTAGGCTCCAGGCTCAGAGCTGTCAGCAGAGAGATGATGCGGGGCCCAAACCCACAAACCGTGAGATCATGACCTGAGCTGAAGCCGGACGCCCAACCGACTGAGCCACCCAGGTGCCCCTAGATTCAAGTTATTTCTAAAGATTTATCTTAGCACATTAAGCATATTTCTTAATTTTACATCTGTGTATACAAAATAGAGAATTTCAGATTCAATCAGTATGAAATCCAGATAGTGAAACACCCACATTTCCTCATAATTTTATGTAAGTTTAATAACAACAGAGTTCTTAATGTTGTTTCAAAATTCTTCATGAATAGGATTATAATTATCGACATGATATATTCATTTCTTTTTCCTTTCTCAAAACTTGTTCCCATCAGGCTTTTTCCAATGATTGATGAGACTTGAATTACCCCTGCTATAGGAGGTGGTCCCAGTTTGGGTGTTGCTGTGACTTCTTAATAGTTAGAAGCTATTCTGGCCTATGGGTTTTTTCTGTTAATTTTATAACGGTCTCTGTTTCCAGCTCTTTAATTGCACAAGGTATTGGGAGCCAAGAATAAATAAAATCTCTAGGTAATTCAAAGCACTTTACCTGATAGTCTGTATCATGTCTGTACTCCAACCCTGCTGTCTGTTCCTGACTGACTAGAGGTTATCGTTATCCCTCCTCTGGCTCTTCTCCAGCCAATGGAAAGTCACCCAGGTGAGGGGGAGGAGCATCTGTCAAGCAGAGAACTGACCTCTGTGAAGTTGAGATTGGGCTATAAATGCAAATGGATGAAAATATTAACACAGTAGCCTCACACACCTTTGAAAAGTCATTTTAACTCTTTTTTGTTCCAGATAAGTGAACCATCATTGCCATCAAAAAGGAAAATGGTAAGAATAAAGTTCACATTATTATTTTATGTCTAGATTTGTTAAATACTTCTCTCTTATCTGTTTACCTGCAGAGTAGATCATCTGTCTGTGAAAGTGTATCTATTACATTGAGTTCCTAACTGAACATGGAGTTTAACTTTCAACTTTTTTCTCATAATGAGAGGATCAAATTAGACATGCACATGGTGTTTATTGGGCAAAATTATGGCTTTTATAGTTTTGATAGTGTCTTTTCATTTTGTTAGTTGAACCCGTGAACAGTTGATTCTCCTTATATGTTTAAAACTTAATTTTTTTAAGTAAAGGAGATTCTCTCAAACTTTTTTTAGTCTCTTTAAAGTTCTTTGACATTCTTTTCTGACCTTCTCATCTTGTTTTCAGATGCTAAATTTTGTTGTGTCAGGAAGAAAATTCCTATTCCGGAATTTACTAATAGTGTGACAATAGGCAAGGTATTTAACTTTCCATGCCTTAATTTCGTCTGTAAAATTGGAATAATAATAATAATTTCTACATCACATGTTTGCTGAGAGAATTAAATGAGATGCTGTTATTATGCTTGTATACACATATGTAAAAAACTAATATATTATCATAATTTTACCTCATTGAAAAGTCCTTTTTTAAAAATATTAGGTATTATTTCTAAGCAAGAGGTTGAGAGTCCAGACTTTGGGTTTGTTTGTTTCTCTGAAAAGGGAGTATATTTACTTGGTTCAAAATTCAAAAAGCTCTCAAGGGCACCTGGGTGGCTAGGTTGGTTGAGCCTCAGACTTTGGCTTAGATCAGGATCTCATGGTTCATGAGTGAGAGTCCCACATCAGGCTCTCTTCTGTCAGTGTGGAGCCTGCTTCAGATCCTCTGTACCCACCTCTCTCTGCAACCCCTCCTTCCCTCCCTCTCTCTCTCTCTCTCTCTCTCTCTCTCAAAAACAAACAAAAAAAATTCAAAGGGGTCTTTAATACAAAGTCTTCTCTCACTCCTCTGTCTCAGCTTCCCACCTCTCCCACTTGGAAGGAACCAGTTTTATCAGTGCCTTGTGTTTCCTTTCAGATATCTGTTTATATTATACATACACATTACATATATACGCATATGTAAAATATATATATATTTGCTTAACTCCCCCTTTCACACTGCCATCCCATACACAGTTACATATGTCCCTTTTTTTTCACTTAACAATATGTTTCTTGAGATGTTTCCTTATTAATAGATAAAGAAGTTCTGCATTCTCTTTTTATAGCTATATATATAGTATTGCATTATATGGATGTTACATAATTTACCTAACCATAAATGACCATTTATGGAACGCCTGGGTGGTTCAGTCGGTTAAGCGTCCGACTTCAGGTCAGGTCGTGATCTCACAGTTCCTGGGTTCAAGCCCCATGTTGGGCTCTGTGCTGACAGCTCGGATCCTGGAGCCTGCTTTGGATTCTCTGTCTCCCTCTCTCTATACCCCTTGCCTGCTTGTTTGCTTGCTTGCTCTCTATCTCTGTCAAAAATAAATAAACATTAAAAAAAATTTTTTAATGACCATTTAAGTTGTTTCCAATCTTTCTCTATTAAAAACAGTGCTGCAGGGGCGCCTGGGTGGCTTGGTCGGTTGAGCATCCGACTTCAGCTCAGGTCATGATCTCACGGTCTGTAAGTTCGAGCCCCGCGTCGGGCTCTGTGCTGACAGCTCAGAGCCTGGAGCCTGTTTCAGGTTCTGTGTCTCCCTCTCTCTCTGCCCCTCCCCTGTTCATGCTCTGTCTCTCTCTGTCTCAAAAATAAATAAACGTTAAAAAAAAAATTAAAAAAAAATAAAATAAAAATAAAAACAGTGCTGCAGTGAATAACTTTATACATACAAGTATATGCTTGTACATACTTCCTTCCAGATATGCATAAGTGCACCTGACAGATAAATTCTGAGAAGGAAATTTCTGGATTAGAAGAAATGCCCGTGTTTATTTTGACTACCAGGTTGCCCGATAGAAGTTTTGCCAATTTGTACTCCCAACAGCACCACGGGCTACCTCACACCTTGACCAACACACTGTGTTAGGAAATTTGTTGACATTTGTCTACCTGATAGGTGAAAAATGATATCTAATATAGTTGTAATTTACATTTCTCTTATAAGGAGTGAGATTGAGCATTTTTAATGTATTATGTTTGCTTTTCCTTCCCTGTTAAACTGTATCCTGTCCACTTTTTTACTTAGTTGCTAATTTATACAAGTCCTTTAAGTGAATGCAGTTTAAAAATACCTTTTATAGGTTTTTTGGGGTTTTTTTGAAGTTTATTCATTTTTTTTTTAAATTTTTTTTTTTTTCAACATTTATTTATTTTTGGGACAGAGAGAGACAGAGCATGAATGGGGGAGGGGCAGAGAGAGAGGGAGACACAGAATCGGAAACAGGCTCCAGGCTCTGAGCCATCAGCCCAGAGCCTGACGCGGGGCTCGAACTCACGGACCGCGAGATCGTGACCTGGCTGAAGTCGGACGCTTAACTGACTGCGCCACCCAGGCGCCCCTGAAGTTTATTCATTTTGAGAGAGACAGATACAGTGTGAGCGGGGGAGGGGTAGAGACAGAGGGAGAGAAAGCAAATCACAAGCAGGCCCTCCACTGTCAGCACAGAGCCCGATGTGGGGCTCCAGCTCACAAAATTGTGAGATCATGACCTGAGCCAAAACTGAGTCAGTTAAGTAACTGACTGAGCCACTCAGGTGCCCAGGATCTTTTTTGCTTTTAAAGTTTATTTATTTATTTTAAGAGAGAGAGAGCATGAGCAGGGGAGGGTCAGGGGGAGAGGGAGAGAGAATCCCAAGCAGGTTCCGTGCTCAACATGGAGCCGAATATAGGGCTTGATCCCACAACCATGAGATCATGACCTGAGTCTATATCAAGAGTTGGACATTTAACCAACAGAGCCACCCAGCCACCCCTATAGGTTCTTTTTAACTTTATTCTCTATATTATAACACAAATACTGGATGAAAATGTTTTATTCACAGTGAAGTAAGGGATTTATTTATTTATCTATCTATCTATCTATCTATCTATTTTTAATGTTTATTCTGAGAGAAAAAGAACACATGTATACACAAGGGCAAGTAGGGAGGGGCAGAGAGAAGGAGAATGCCAGGCACGCTTTGTGCTCTCCGTGGAGATCCCACAAATAGTGAGATCATGACCTGAGCTGAAATCAAGAGTTGGATGCTGAACCACCCAGGTCCCCCTTCAAAATTTTAAAAGCTTTTAACGAATTAAACTAACGAATACTTCAGATCAGGGGTGCCTGGGTGGCTCAGTTGGTTAAATGTCCAACTCTTGATATTGACTCAGGTCTTGACTTCAGGGTTGTGAGTTTGAGCTCTGGGCTTTGCGCTAGGCATGGAGCCTGCATACATACATACATAAAATTGAGATGAGCAATGTAAAGCTGATGTTGATTTAATTAATAACACTGGCCCTTTGAGATTTAGGTGCAGCTTCCCTAACTTACCTATGGGCTGCCTTCCAGTGTCAGTACTGAGACGTAAATAAGTTTGACCAAATGAAGAGAGCAGTCTTCCCCGTGGAGAGTCCTCATCAGAGCGTCTTGGGCAGACCGTTGCCGGTACTCTCATTCCAGGTTTCTAGTACCACGTTAACCCTTTGGGAAGTTCTACTCCCTCAGAGGGACTGACTCCGAAACTCTTGAATCCCACCCTGGCCAGGAATGACCATCATTGCTGCCTCTCAGCCCAATGAGAGTCCTAACATAGTGCTCACCGCACGGAGAATAATCAAGTTTAAAAGGACTTTGGTTTAGAAGATGAATCAGGATTACAAAGGCTATTTATAACGAAAAGGGGTCTACAAACTTAACTTGTTAACAGGTGATAGTGTAACGTGATACCAGAGTTAGCAAGTTAGAGTGCTAGCATTAAGAAGTATATTTCATGGGGGTGGCGCCTGGGTGGCTCAGTTGTTTTGAGGGTCAGACTCTTGGTTTCGGCTCAGGTCATGATCTTGTGGTTTGTGAGTTCAAGCCCTGCTTCAGGCTTCACGCTGACAGTGCAGAGCCCGCTTGGGATTCTCTCTTTCCCGCTCTCTGCACCCCTCTCAAAATAAATAAATAAACTTAAAAAAAGTATGTTTCATATCATCCTCAGGGACTTAATCTGTTTGCTTTGTGGGGGTTGAAGGTGGTGTGCACTTTGCAGATGTTGATTGTTAAGCAACAAGCTGGACAGGGCTGTTTAATGGGGCTGTAGTGTGACAGCGATGTGGCAATGGTGGTCATTGTTTGCCATGGTGGAATTTATGGGCTTCCTCGTCAGTCCCTTTGAGGTCAAGGGATTTACCAGTGGGGTTAAGTGCAGAGTAGAGTCCACCTGAAAGGTTTGGCTGAATTGGGGGAGAGTTGCCCCAGATACTAGGGTGGTCAGCATCCTGGTTTGGTGAGAATGTGGCTAAAGCAGATTCCACAGGTAGGACAGGGTTAGGGAAATCTGCAAGCAAGTTCCAGAGTACCTCTTCCAGGCTGCCTTAGAAGGCTGGTACGCATCACGTCCAGGGTGTGTTGCAGGGTCCCAGCTCCCGAGGGGTCCTGGAATAGTCAGAAATAACCTTAGTGGAGTTGGAACCCCCATTCCTAGAACTCCTTTGAAAATCATACCAATCCAGAGGCGCCTGGGTGGCTCAGTCAGTTAAGCATCAGACTCTTGATTTCAGCTCAGGTCATGATTTCACAGTTCGTGGTTCATGGGTTTGAGCCCCATGTCACTCTCTGTGCTGACAGCACGGAGCCTGCTTGGGATTCTCTCTCTCTCCCTCTCTCTCTCCCCACTTCCCCTCTCGTACATGCTCTCTCTCTCTCTCTCTCTCAAAATAAATTTAAAAAAAAAGAAAAAGAAAAATCATACCAATCCAGTTAATTTATACTCTTTCAAGATATGGTTGCTGAATGCAAAAGATGTCCTTTCATGGGGCTCTTTTCCTGGGAAATGAATCATTATGGATCTACAATTAGGTGTGTTCTAGAGGCAAACTTCTGTGAGAGGGAATCTCATTGACTTAATTGAGGAATCTCTATTGGACTTACCTGCTAGAAACCTTTTAGAAAAGGTTGGATCTCCAGCTTCTCACTGGGTTTGATTTCCACCAGCTTCCTTCCCAGTTCTTAGTAAGAATTGGCAGCCTACCACAGGAGAGGCAGTAGTATGATGAACAAAATAAACTTTGGAATCAGGCAAATCTGAGTTTTATTACTAGTAACTCCATGATTCTGAGGAAATTATGCACCCTCTCTGAGCTGTCCCTTGTTTCCTGTCCCTTGTTTGGAGCTATTTCCTAGACTGTAACTTTTTATTTTGTATTTTAATAAATACACTTTTTGAAAATTAAATAAGATCATTTTTAAAAAGAAATATACAGACATAAAGTAAGATCAAACAGAGGCAGAAAAAAATTCTAATAACTCCCTAAGTACAGAACAGGTTTTTTTCCAAGCCAGAAAAGTGAGAATCTAATCTGAGCATTGAAGGTGATGGTGTGCGTTTGGGACTGGGGCCTCTGCACCATTGTATTCTATGCTCAGAGGGAGAGAGACTCAGCATTTGGACAAATGTACACTATTTCTAACTTGGTAGCATATTCAGCCCGTTTTTATTTAAAGCATTTTTTTATTGAAGTCGACACACACTGTTAATTACTTTCAGGCATACAACATAGCGATTCAGCATCTCTCTACGTTATGCTCTGCTCACAAGTGTAACTGCCATCTCTCACCGTACAACACTATTCCAGTGTCATTGACTCTATTCCTTATGCTGTGCCTTTCATCCCCGTGACTTACTCGTTCCATAACTGGAAGCCTGCACCTCCCTCTCCTCTTCACCCATCTTTCCCCCCCTGCCCAATACATTTTTTAATTTGAAAAGCTTAGTAATTATAACCATAGCATTACTTACCCCGTTGCTTAATTACTTTCTCTTGCCTCATGATAAAGCTTTTTTGATATTTGCTGACGACATTCATTTTTGCTAGAAGCAAAGAAAGGTCATCTGAAATCTCGGGCCATGTGTTTGTAGTCACAGATACGGTTTGAGAGTGATGTGTTCCAGGGCTGTGGAGCCCAACACATCCATCCGATAAAAGCCTAATGAGGGGCGCCTGGGTGGCTCAGTCGGTTAAGCATCCGACT